TAGCAAAAAAAAAACAGGCCCAAATCTTCATCATGTCAGATTAGGCCCTGACTTCCTTAACAAGACTCCTAAAGCACAAGACGTAAAATCAAGAATCAATAAGTGGGATGCATTCAAACTAAAAAAGTTTCTTCTCAGGAAAAAAAAAAAAAAAAAAAACAATCAATTAGGTGAAGGCAGAGCTTACAGAATGGGAGCAAACTTTTACCACATGCCCAATAGACAGAGCACTAATCTCCAGGATACATAAAGAACTCAAAAAAACTTTAACACCAAAAAAACAAATAGCCCATTGGGCTAAAGAATTGAACAGACACTTATCAGAATAAGATATACAATTGGTCAACAAACATGTGAAAAAGTGTTCAACAACTCTAGTAATTAGAGAAATGCAAATCAAAAATTCATCTCCCTCCAGTTAGAATGGCAGTTATCAAGAATACAAGCAACAATAAGTGTTGGCGAGGATGTGGGAAAAAGGCACACTCATACATTGCTGGTGGGACTGGAAAGTGGTGCAACCAATCTGGAAAGCAGTATGGAGATTCCTTAGAAAACTTGGAATTGAACCACCATTTGACCCAGCTATCCTACTCCTCAGTCTATACCCAAAGGACTTAAAAACAGCATACTACGGGGATGCAGCCACATTAATGTTTATAGCAGCATAATTCCCAACAGCTAAACTGTGGAACCAACCATGCCTTTCAATAGATGAATGGATAAAGAAAATGTGGCATATATACACAATGGAGTATTACTCAGCATTAAAAAAGAATAACACACTGAGTGAAGTAAGCCAATCCCAAGAAACCAAAGGCTGAATGCTTTCTCTGATAAGTTGATGCTGATCCACAATGGGGGCGGGGGCATGGGATGAATGGAGAAACTTTGGATTGGGCAAACGGAGGGTAAGGGGGGGTAATGAGGGCAGGAAAGATGGTGGAATGAGATAGACATCATTACCCTAGGTACATGTATGATTGCATGAATGGTGTGACTCTCCTTCACGTACAACCAGAGAAGTGAAAAACTGTGCTCTATTCATTTACAATGAATAGTAATGTATTCTGCTGTCATGTATAACTAATTAGAACAACAAAAACAACAAAAAAGCCCTGTTAATATGAAAAGCTGGGAGAATATATTTGCATACCTTTTTATTTTATAGATTTATTATGATTGAGTTATAAAAGTTCAGATACAGACTTGCAAATATTTTCTCCCTATGGGTTGTCCTTTTACTTTCTTGATAATGTCTTTTGAAGCATAATAGTCTAATATTTTGCTAACTTCAATTTATCTATTTGTTTCCTTAGGTTGCATGTACTTTAGTTGTTATATCTAAGAATCCATTGCCTAATCCAAGGTAATGATGATTTATATACTTATGTTTACTTCTGAGAGTCTCATATTATTAAGTGATATATTTGCCTTGATACATTAAGACAAATGAACAGAGAAAATAAAAATAACCTAACTATATGCTGTCTATAAAAAAACTTACTTCAAATATAATTATATAGGTAGACTAAAGATAAAAGGCTAGAAAGACACATACCATACAAACATTAACTAAAAGGACGCTGGAGTCACTATATTATCAAAGACTTTGAAGCAGGACCAGGTGCAGTGGTGCATGCCTACAATTCTAGAGCCTGGGGAGGCTGAGACAGAGGATCGTGAGTTTGAAGCCAACCTCAGCAACCACGAGGCAGGTGCTAAACAACTCAATGAGGCCCTTTCTCTAAATAAAATACAAAACAGGGCTGTGGCTCAATGGTTGAGTGCCCCTGAGTTCAATCCCTGGCAATCCCTCCCCGCCAACACACACAATAAAAAGACACTGAAGCAAAGAAAATTATCAGGGATGAACAGGGATCTTGATAAAAGGGTAAATCACCAAGACATAAAAATTCTAAATGTGTAACAGCCTAAACAACAGTGCCTCAAAAAAATTACTAAATAAATAAATAAAAGATATAATACATTCATTCATACATTAGAAAATAAATATAATAAATGTCAATTATCTCCAAATACATTTATATATTTAATATAATACTAATCAATACTCAGGTTTTTAAAAAATCTTCTATTTCAGTTATTCCCTTTATTTTACTTTTTTTTTTAGTTGTAGATAGATACAATACCTTTATTTCACTATTCACCTTTTTAATATGGTGTTGAGGATCAAACCCAGAGCCCACACATACAAGGCAAGTGCTCTACCACTGAGCTACAACCCCAGCCCCAGGTTTTTTTTTTTTTTTTTTTTAACTGATATAGACTAGCTGATTCTATACTTTACATAGAAGGGCAAAAGAACTAGACTAGTGCTATAACTTGGTTTGTCCCCACCAAAACTCATGTTGAGGCTTGGTCCTCAATGTAATGGTGTTGAGTAGCAGTGGGACCTTTAAGAAATGAGACCTAGCAGAAGTAATTAGGTCATGAAGGCACTTCTTCTTCTTCTTTTTTTTAAAAATATTTATTTATTTATTTTTTTAGTTTCCAGTGGACACAACATCTTTGTTTGTATGTGGTGCTGAGGATCGAACCCGGGCTGCACATATGCCAGGAGAGCGCGCTACAGCTTGAGCCACATCCCCAGCCCATGAAAGCACTTCTTTCATGAATGGTTTCATATTTCCTGAGAGACTGGATTATTCTTTTGAGACTGGATTAAGTTTAGCACCACTGAGCTAGAACCTCACAAGACTGGACTAGTTACTGTAACAAAGATTATGAAGCTATTCAGGTTTCCCTCTGTCTCTCTCTTGCTATCTGACCTTTCTTCTGCATGTGCCTACTTCACTTTTGCTTTTCTACCACACATGGAGCAGCACATGGTCCTCACTGGCAAAGCCAATGCCAGTGTCACGCTCTTGGACCTTCAGCACATGAGCCCAAACTAACCTCCTTTCTTTATAAAGTACCCATCCTCAAATATTTTGTTATAGCAACAGAAACTAGACTAAGACATCTAACTAAAACAGTTTTGGAAGAGAATAAGTTAGAGGAACCATACTACTTGATTTAAAAATTTTTTAAGTTATTGATAGACCTTTATTTTTTATTTATTTATATGCGGTGCTGAGAATCAAACCCAGTGCCTCACACATTCCAGGTTAAGTGTGCTTCTACCACTGAGCCCCCGCCCCCGCTCCCATACTACTTGATTTTAAGACTTAATATAAAACTACTCTAATCAAGTCAATGTGGTACTAATGAAGGAATAGGCACATAAATTAAGGAAACAGAAGAGAGTATATAGAAATAGAGCCACAAAAATATGGCCATTTATTTTTTGACAAAGGTACAAAAGAAAATGATGAAAGCAACTTCTGACCATAACTAGAATTTGTTTTTATCACAGGTAAAAATTGAAGACAAAGGTACAAAAGAAATTTAATGATAAAAGCAACTTCTTACCATAACTAAATACAAATAACAAATAACTAAATACAAATGGCCAGATTCAGCAAAATAAATTGATTAGGAACAGCTGGGGGCACTAATTCTAATATGTAATGAGGCAGCAATTTCCTTTTTTGGGTATTATTAGGTATTGAACCCAGGGCCCCTCACACATGCTAGGCAAGCACTCTATTGCTGAGCTCATCCATAGACCTTTTTAAAAAAACTTGTGAGTCAGGATCTTGCTAAGTTGTTCAGGCTGGCTTCGAACTTGTGATCCTTCTGCCTTAGCCTACTGAGTAGCTGGGATTATAGGTACATGTATCATGCCAGCAACATAATACATTTATTCAGGATTAACTTTCTAAAAGTAATCGATCAAATCAATACTGAAGACTTCTGTTCCCGACAAACCTGGTTTTTCAACTTGTTAATGTATGTCAGAATTAAAATTTCATTTATGGTTATCAAAAAGATCTCAAAGCAGGGCATGATGGTGCACGCCTATAATCCCAGGGCTCGAGAGGCCGAGTCAGGAAGATCACAAGTTCAAAGCCTGCCTTAGCAATGGCAAGACGCTAAGCAACTCAGACCTTGCCTCAAATAAAATAGAAAAAGAAAAAAATCTTAATTAGAAAAGAGATCATCTTCTATTATTTTATGCTAATTTTGGCTACATGTTAAAATTAACCTTTGGAAAGTTAAATATCCAACAGTAACTGATGCTTAAATTTAATCCAAAACTATAAGTAAACTGCTGTTAAGCAGGAATGTATTCAATTCGTTGATGAAAAATATGTAAAATGACCCAAGGAGCATCAGATCATTTCAAAGTGTTTAACAACAATTTAAATAATAATTATTCTTCTTCAAATAACTTCACAAATTAACTCTCTTTGAGAGACTGACAATGTAGCTTCACCACAGACAACACAGGAATAACATTAAAATTAACAGAATTTTTATAGACTATGTGTCTTAATGTCTAGAACAGGATACACACACAAAAGTTTATATTTAAATTACCAGTGAGCACTTGTGAGTCAACCCTGCAACTTAACTCTCAGACAATGCCCAGGATTTCTACTGCTACCTTTGTGCCCTTCCCCATTCCATCCTTCTGCCTCACTTTCTCACACACCTATCCCTATTAGAAAATCATACTTTGTGTGTGTGAGTGTGTGTGTGTGTGTGTGTGTGTGTGTGCATGTGTGCCATTAGTAGGAAGGTAATACTGAGAACATTTTCAAGAGTGGAATTAGTACAAATTCACCTCAAATAGAAAAACTGATTTATATCTATCTCCTTTTATATAGCATTGACAGTAAGCAGCGTTCCCTGTTGCTATGAAATCTTACATTGGCACCATCCCTATTAAAAACAGTAAATATGTTACTCTCTTTAAGGCCTCACACAATTTATCTTTATATGACTTCACCCTCAAATGGTCTATTAAGCAAATCAAAACAAGCCTAAGTTTTTCAGCTTCTGAAAATAAAGTTATTTAAGCATACTATAGCATATCACTTCTATTAGAAAATAGTTTAAGACAATATTAAAATGTTTATAAAGCAACTTACCTCATGTAAATTCAATTCTTTTACTTTCTCTTTTAATATAACCTGTAAGAACAAAAAATTATTTTGTGCTTATTTAAATTTGTAACTTAAAACTTTTTTCATTCCACTTAGAAATATTTATATTTATATATGTATATGTATATGTGTGTGTGTGTGTACATACACACAAATAAAATTTCCTTCATAATTCAGTATTGAAGATAATCTCTTACAATTTGAGATAGAACATTTTAACAACATTCTTTTAACTTGAGCTCAATATACTATATAATATAAATATATTTAAATATATTCAGTATATTTTAAAGATTAAATTTACCATGTGTCTTGTGACCCAATTAGTTCTATCAATTTCATGTACAAATGATCACCAAGGCCAATTTTACTTTCTAGTTAGCCTATATACAAACATGCTTAGGTTGTCAAGATTATGACAAAATGAGACAAAAGATTCACTTAAAACTAAAATATTCAACTCTGAGTCTCATATGAAAACTATGGGGAAGAATGTGGGATTAACCAAGACATCAGTGTGTACATCTAGGGAACAAGCCAATAAATTCAGATATCAAAGATACATGAATAAGGGCTGGGACCATAGCTCAGTGGTAGAGCTCCTGCCTCGCATGTGTGGGGCACTGGGTTCGATCCTCAGCACCATGTAAAAACAAAGATATTGTGCCCGTCTACAACTAAAAAAATATTAAAAAAAAGGATACATGAATAAAAAATGGATAGAAAGATATACACTCCTAAAATGATGACATAGTCCTGTTAACATCAGTGTCAATAAGGTTAATGACCCAAACAAGCTGAAGCTGCTTTCCCTCCCTGCCTATATTTAAACTCATATAAACACATACTAAAATTCTAAGGACAACAAAAATTTTATGCTTAGAGCCAAAAGAGAATTAAGGAAAATCTAGGCCCACTGTTTGGTGTCAGTGGTAAATGTTAAAGAATGACACAAGGAAGAAAAAAACTACTTTTATTTGGATTTCAAGAAAAGTTGAGTTATTAAAGCACAAACCAGTGAGGAACTATAGAAGGGTTAACAGCTATGATCCAAGTTTGTGGGCTTCTAATGCGAGACCTGAACTAACATTTAAAGTACAAAAGGGAATGATGAGACCACTGTACCATAGCTGGTTATCTCTGAGGAACTGCTATGTCTTTAAATGGAGAAGGAGTAAATTCATTTATCGAAATGTCTCAACTCTATTGACAGAAATGCTAAAATGAAAATATGTAAATCCAGTCTTAGTTTAAAATATGAGTGAAAATAATCTTAGTTCTTAGTTTTTAGGAAAAAAATATGATCAAAATCAATTTGGAGGCTGGGGTTATAGCTCAGCGGTAGAACACTTGCCTCGCACATGTGAGGCACTGGGTTCAATTCTCAGCACCACATAAAAACAAATAAATAAAATAAAAATAAAGATATTGTGGCTTTCTACAACTGAAAAAAAACATTAAAAAAGAGTAGATCTTTATAAATCTTAATTAATTAATTAATTAATATATTGAATTAAATTTCTTACCTGTTTGTATGCATAAAATTCTTTGTGGGCTTGATGTCTTAACCTAAAAGACAGAAATAAGCAATGAGTTACTGAGATTTCTAATAATTGAAAAAAAATTTTAAATTGATTTTAGTGTTAATTTATATAATTTATGGTTTAAAATACAGTCTTTATCCTAGAATACTCCTAAATGACTTCTCTTTTGCCAGGTTAGGAGAAAGTGAATCATGAAATGTTACCCAAATATAAGTTCTATTGATATTTCATTATGACAAAATCTTAATACAATAAATATTTTAATGAAGATGACAGTTCTTTTTATATTTGCAAATATCTATTTTTTCAATAATATTTGCTATATCACATTTTTCATAAATAAAATTTTAAGTATAACATACATCTAATAAGGTATAAAATCTTGCCAGGCGTGGTGGCACATTCCTGGAATATCAGTGACTCAGGGGGCTGAGGCAGGAAGATTGGGAGCTCAAGACAAGCCTCAGCAACTTAGTGAGGCTCTAAGCAACTTAGCAAGACCCTGTCTCAGAATAAAAAATAAAAAAGGACTGGGGATGTGGCTCAGTGGTTAAGTACCCCTGGGTTCAATCCCCATTACCTAAATAAATAAATAAATAAATAAATAGTATAAGACCTTAATTATATAGCTCAAAAATTTGAAAATGTATATTCCAGTATAATTATTATCCATATGAAGATAATGGGACATTTATAGTATCCTTGAAGCCTCGGAAATGATTCCTCTCAATCAGTACCTACTCCCCAGAGTTACCCCCATCTTGACTTCTGGTTACTATAGATTATATCTGTTTTTTGGACTTCATATAAGTGGATCATTTGGCATATATTCTTTTGTGTTTGGCTTTCAGTCTACAATCCTTTTTGAGAGTCATCCATGTTATATTCTGTTCTTTTGACTGACATGGTATTCCACTGTGTGCATATAATACAATTTATCCATTCTGTTGTTGAATAAAGCAGCTTCACAAATTCTTCTGCTTATCTTTTAGTGGACATACAGATTCATTTCTGATGAGGATATAATTAGAAATAGAATTGCTATGTCCACAGTGCTTGTACCAATTTCTACTCCTACAGGCAGTTTCTGAGAGTTCTAGTTCCACATCTTTGCCATTATTTAATGGGCTCAGTTTTAAAAAATTGAAAATTTAAATGTAGTCCAATTCATTATCTTTTCTCCAATTACTGTTAGGTTTTTTTTTGTATCTAGTTAACAAAATCTCTTTGTAGCTCAAGATTAGGAAAATATATAAATCATAACAGTGCTCCTATACAATACTAAATAAAAGTGATAGTCAAGAGCCTATCAATATTGTCACTATTAAGTATGATGTTTTATTAGGTATTTTGTAGACAGCTTTGATTGAATTTTAAAAACACTCCCTTCTATTCTAGTTTGCTTATTTAAAAAACATTATGTGTAAGTATTACATTTTATAAAATATTATTTTTCTTCCTTTCTTTTACTTTTAATGTGGTTATTATATTGCTTTTTTGGGGGCAGTACCGGGGATTGAACCTAGGGCCCTATGCACGCAAGACTAGCACTCTACCATTGAATTTTATCCCCAAACCTACACTTTTTGATTTCTGAATATTAAAAACACCTTCATTCATGGAACAATTCCTATTTGGTTATAATGCATTACTCTTTTTTTGCACATATATTATTCACTAATATTTTGTTCATGAGAAAGATTGGTCTATAATTCCCTTTCTTGTCATGTACCATCAGACTGTGGAAAGAAAATTATGCTGGCTTCATCATATGTGCTGAGACGCATTTCCTCTACTTCTGTTCTTTGGAAATATTGTATAAAAGCAATATTTTTGCCTAAAGTGCTTCAACATAACGAATTCACTGATGAAATTACTTGGCTTGCAAGTTTTTTATGGGAATGCATTAATAACCATTCAATATTCATTACATATAAATTATTCATATTTTCTATTACTTTTGTCAGTTTTTCTTTTAAAAATGTTATTTTTATTCACATTAAAATTAACTATCTTCTAGTGTACAAATCAATGATAATTTAATCACAATGTTGGTGCAATCAACAGTTGTCTCTCTAATGTTAAAAGTTTTCAGCACCCTCCAATAAAACACCTGACACCCATTAGGTAATCATGCTTTCCTTCCCCCTTCCCTATCTCCTGGCAATCTCTAATCCCTCCTCTATGGATTTTCATATCATGGATATATGCTAGAAAAGAACTCAAACAACATGCAACCTTTTGTGGTTGGCTTTTCGGTGAGCATAATGTTTTCATGTACATCCTAGTTGCTGTATATATCAGTACTTCATTTATGTCTGAATAATATTCCACTACATGTACATACTATAATTTGTTTATGTTGATAGACATTTGGTTGATTATCCATTTTGGTTATTATGGATAATGCTGTTAGAAATATTCTTCTACACAGCTGGGTGTGGTGGGGCACACTTTTAGTACTCATGAGTTGGGAGAGAAGCAGGAGGAGTGCAAGTTTGAGGCCAGCCTCAGCAACTTGGTGAGACCCAGTCTCAAAATAAAAAAATAGAAACAGCTAGGGATGTGGCTCAGTGGTTAAGCTCCCCTGGGTTCAATTCCTGGCACCAAAACCAAAACCAAAAAAAAGTCCCGCACAAGTTTCTGTGTGGACATATCTCTTCATTTGTCTTAGGTATCCACCAAGGAATGAAAATACTAGGTAATATGATAAATCTATTTAATATTTTAAGGAACTGACAAACTTTTTTCCCACAGCAGCGTCACTGTTTTATTCCCCACCAGCTCTTTGATTTCTTGATAATGTTCTTTAGTACACAAATGTTTTTATTAATAATAATTATTATTATCTTTTAGGAGATATCTTACTATGTTTCCCAGGCTAGTCTTAAACTCCTGAGCTTAAGTAACCCTCCTGTCTAAGCCTCCCCAGTTACTGGGCCTCACCTTTTAAAATATTTTACAACTGCATTTTTTTTTCCTTTGGTTGCTTGTGCTTTTTGAACCAACCCACTGCCAATCTGAAGTCATGAATATTTACCCCATGTTTAAGAATTTTATAGTTTTAGTTCTTAATATTTAGGTCGCTCATCAATCTTGAGTAATTTTTAAAATTATTGTGTGAAGCAGGGGTTCAACTTTAGTCTTCTGCATGTGAATATGCAGCTGTCTCAGCACTACTGGTTTAAAAAAACAATTCTTTACCCACTGAATGATTTTGGCATTCTTCTTTTAGATGTTCAGGTTTATTTATTATGGACTCTCAATTCTATTCTTTTGGTTTATGTTTCTTTCTTTCTTTCTTTCTTTTTTTTTTTTTTTTTGGTACCTAGGATTGAACCCAGGAGCGCTTAACCACTGAGCTACATCCTCAGCCCATTTCAAATATTTTATTAGAGACAGACCTGAGTTGTTAAGTGCCACACTAAGTTGCTGAAACTGGCTTTGAACTTGCAATCCTCCTGCCTTAATCTCCAAAGATGCTGGGTTTACAGGTGTGTGCCACTGAGACAGCTGAATTTCTAACTTTAGGCCAAAATGACAATGTATTGATTACTGTACATTTGCAGTAAGTTTTAAAAACAAGATAGGCAATTCCTTGTATTTTGTTTTCTTTTTCAATATCATTTTGACTATTTGGAACCCCTCATAGTTCTAAATGAATTTGAGGAATAATCTTTCCATTTCTGGAAAAAAGAAAAAAAGTCATTGTAATTTTGATAGGAATTGCATTGAATCAACAGCTTGGAAGAATACTACGATCTCAGCAATATTGTCTTTAAATCCATGAACCTGGGATGTCTTTCCATTTATTTAGTCTTCTTTAATTTATTTCAGCAATGCTTTTAGTTTTCAGTATACAAGATTTTCACCTCTTGGGCTGGTGATGTGGCTCAAGTGGTAGCGTGCCCGCCTGGCATTCGCAGGGCGCTGGGTTCGATCCTCAGCACCACATAAAAATAAAATAAAGATGTTTTTTTGTCCACCAAAAAAAAGATTTTCACCTCTTTATTCCCAGGAATTTTATTATTTTGGATATTATAAATAGAATTGTTTCTTTAGTTTTTTTGATAATGTTATTCAAATTATCTATGCTTACTAGTTTTTGTCTGCTTCTTTACTAAAAAATGTGTACAGTACATTTTCATATAAAGAAAAGAGATAAACTCTATTAGAATTCATTAAAATGAGGCTTGATTTGTAATTTCCTTTTGCTTAATTGAATCTTTCCATTGCATCTGAATATTTTCCCAAAGTAGAACTTGTTACTTCCACTCATAAGAGGGATCAATTATGTTCCCATTTCTTCAATCTGTGGCTCAAACTCCATCTATTCTAGGAAATTCTCAAATTAACTCCCCTTATTGATTACTCCTTTAAGTCCCACTAATTATTAATATTTTAGATTATACTACTTCATTTTGCATTGCTAAATAAATATCTTAAAAATATGTAAGAAAGCATGATTAACAATGCTGAACAGTGCTGGAGAAAATGACAAAACCATGTAGCTTATGGCCACTAAGACTATTCTCAGCCTGCCACTCCACATTGTTCTCTAATCCTTCTATATGTTCATGGTTAGAATCCTAAGCTTCCATGAAGTGGTTGATTCAAACCCTTGCCACTCTTTAAGTTTAACAGTACCACATTCTCTCCATCATTTTCTTTTCTTTTCCCATTCTTCTTTTTCTTTTTTTGCAGTACTAGGGATTGAATCCAGGGGTACCCAACCACTGAACTACATCCCCAGCCTTTTAATTTTTTATCTTGAGACAGGGTCTAAGTTGCTGAGAGGCTGGTCTTGAACTCCCAATTGCTTGCCTTAGCCTCCATAGTATCTGGGATTACAGACATGCACCACCTCCCTATCATTTTCAACTGTAATTTTTTATTTCACAGGAAATAAAAGAAGACTGCCACATATGCAAACTCTCTTATTCCCAGACTTACTGACTTACATGAGCAATTATTCTCTACAGGTATTCTGTTTAGGACTATATCACTATATTCCTTAGGTTTGTTTCTTTGAACATACATGATTTATTCTTTCTCACAAATCCTCCACAACTAGCTGGTTTCTATCTTTAAAAACAAAAAATAGGGACTGGGGTTGTGGCTCAGTGGTAGAGTGCTCACCTAGCATGCACTAGGCACTGGGCTTGATCCTCAGTCAGTACCACATAAATGTAAACTAAAGATGTGTCCACCTAAAACTTAAGAATGAATATGAATACACACACACACACACACACACACACACACACACACACACACACACACATATATATATACACACACACAGGTTAGTTGGTGGTGTATGCCTGCCTGTAATCCCAGTGACTCAGGAGGTTGAGGTAGGAGGATTGTGAGCTCAAGACCAGCATGAACCAGTATAATGAATTGGACATAACTTTCCTATGTTCACATATGAATATATGACCAGTGTAACTCCATATCATGTACAACCACAGGAATGGGAAGTTATACTTCATGTATGTATGATATATCAAAATATTTCCTACTGTCATGTGTAACTAAAAAAAACAAAAAAATTAAAAAAATAACAAATTTTTTTAAAAACGGCAAATCTTTAAAAAGAAAAAAGACCTGCATGGTCAATTTAGTGAGATCCTGTTTCAAAATAAAAATGGGCTGGGCATCCAATCCTCAGTAACACACACACATACACAAACAAAAAATAAACATCAAAATACTTCCTTGATTTTACAGCCTCTGCCTCTCCCCTAAACCTAATAGTTCTTCAGCCAAATTTCTTCAAAGAGATTATATGTCTTGTATCCATTTTCACTCACTAGTCAGGTTTTGCCACATTATAGCTTGCCTTCCTTTATTCCCCTATCCTGAACTTTTCTAAAAGAGTATGGATACAAACCTAATTGTTCAAGGTGATGGGAAATTTTCAAATCTTACTGGACCTCTCTGGGAGCAGCTGACACAACTGACTCAATCCATTGAAATCATACTTATGGGGCGCCTCTTTCTTGATTTTCCTCTTATCTGCTGCTACGCCTTCCCAGTCTTCAGCTCCAAAAAGCTGTTTCCCCCAATATTTTTTAGTTGTAGAAAGACACAATACCTTTATTTTATTTATTTATTTTTATGTGGTGCTGAGGATCAAACTCAGTGCCTCACAAGTGCCAGGCAAGCACTCTACCACTGAGCCACAACTCTAGGCCTCCAAAAAGTTCTTTGAAGAATATCATATAAAATTTTATATAGTCTCAGTCTTGGTTTTGAAAATTAGACACTATTAAAAAACTTAAAAAGTACAAATGCTTAAATAATTATGAGTCAATCAACATGAATCTTTACTGGCCAAATCTATTACCCTTTCAACTGCAGTGTTACCTTTTGTCAATTGTCTCTACATGTACTATTGGTAATGTAGAATATGTAGTGGTTTTTTCGGATAACCAATCATCTGACTATTCAACTAGCTGGACAACAACTGGGAGTTTAAAATGTTCTTGAGGGACCACAAGGAGCTTTTTTAAAGGCATGGGTCTTGTCTTGGACACTGCTGATCCCTAATGACTTTAGCTAACAATGATGCAACACCCTTTCAAAAAACAATTTGAAATCCCTGTGAAAATATTTTTTTTTTGAAAACAGACAATGATGTAAGTATAGTTGGACCAGGTGCTCATATGGAGGACAAATTAATAAAGACAATTTTCTCCTATAAGAGACTTAACAGTAAATAGGACTGAAGACTGCATAAAGGTGTATTACTGATTAGTAACTCAGAGAAGATTAAAACAATAAGCATATTAACTTTTAGAAAATTTGCCATTATCACATTTAAGTTTAAATATTTTAAAATCTGAGGGTAGGACTGGGGTTCTGGCTCAGTGATAGAGAGCTTGCTTAGCATGTGTGAGGTACAGGGTTTAATCCCCAGCATCCCATTAAAAAAATTAAATAAACAAAATAAAGGTATTGTGTCCATCTACAGCTAACATATATATATAGTTGTATATGAATATATAAAAATATGTGCATATATTCATATATGTATGAATATTCATATATGAATATATACACATATATTAAAAAAATCTTAGGGTAGAAACTTGATTGCTTAACATATTCTGAAGTAACATAAAATGAAAATTACCTAATCAAGTAGCAACAGAAGAGTAAACTAAGGATGAAGACAAATATAGCAGTGCCAAAAACCACAATATATATGTTGAGAGGCAGATTCTGGAATCCAATATTAGGCATCCTGAAGTTGTAATGTGGGAAATCTGAGCTCATGGATAAACTGTAGGGGAAGACAAGAATGGAAAAGAATTAGGTATAAAGACTAAGAACCAAGATGTATAGAGGCAAAAGTTTTCTAATGCTTGACTTCATTTGAAACAAGTATGACAGACAGCATTCATTCATTGTATCACATATTTACTACGTGCTTACTTACCTGGCATTGTTCTAGAGAATAGAGATCCTGTGAAAAAGCTCTGCAAGTTGCATTCATTCATTAAGATATTTCACTGAAATAATGCCAATAATCAATAAACACAAAAATGTTCAACCTCAAAGAAGTGCAAAAAGGAAAAAAAAATCTTGAGAATTTTCAAACTTTAACCTTTGACTTAATAATTCAACTCTTAAATTCCTAATATCTATAATAGTAAGAGTATTAAATAGTAATTATTATAGTAATTAAATAGTATTAAATAGTAATAATAAAAGTATTAAAAACACAGACCAGAAGCAATGGCTTCAGTGACTCAGAAGGCTAAGGCCAAGAGGATTGAAAGTTTGAGGCCAGCCTCAGCAATCTGGCAGTACCCTAAGCAACTTAATAAGATCCTGTCTGAAAATACAAAATAAAAAGGACTGGGGATGTAGCTCAGTGGTAAAATGCTCCTGGGCTCAATCCCCATTACCAAACAAACAAACCCCAAAACCACAAATAACCACCCAAACAAAAAAATATCTGACTTAGATATCTTACAAAGAGATGATTAAGCAATTACATCATATGTTATTATTTTATGGAGTTATTAAAGCTGATGTTTTTAGTTAATTTTAATTCAAGAGAAATAAAAATATGTGGGAAAAATGAAACAAAGATTGCACATAAAATATGAAACCCATTTTGCAAATACAAATGTGTGTGTGTGTGTGTGTGTGTGTGTGTATTATGAGTCAATCAACATGAATCTTTACTGGCCAAATCTATTACCCTCTCAACTGCAGTGTTACCTTTTGTCAATTGAGAGAGAGAGAGAGAGAGAGAGAGAGAGAGAGAGAGAGAGAAAGCCTGAAAGGCAACTTATCAAAATACTAACAGTGGCTTAGAATTTTATTCTCTTCTTTTTGAACATCTTTTATCAAGTCAGGCTCTGTACTAATAATTTTACTGGCATTATTTTATTTAATCATCACATCAAACTTTTCTGGTGGGTACCACAATTATTCCCTGTTTTATACATGAGGAAACTAAAGCTGAGAGTGTTTTGGTCACATAGTCTGGTCAACTATGTAGAGGAGCTTGGGTCCCTCCAACTCCAAAGCCAGTGCTCTCAATCAATTTGCTCTACTACCTTTCTTGTATTACTTTTATAACAAGAAAAGAGCCAATGTTTTTAAAATATTAAAAGGGGACTATTTCTGTAGATTTGCTTGTAATATTTAATGATCACTACCAAAGTTAAAATTTTATAAATGGAACCTGACTCCTCATTTAGGTGATAAGCTATAGTGATAAAATGACTTATCACACCTTCTCACTAGAACTTCCCTTGTCATTGATTCCTCACAGAATAAAAAAACTCCTGCCAAGCCTGCTTATTACGACAAAAGATGAATAACTGAATTATAAGTATGACTATTATCAAAATCAGAACAAAAAAGCCTTACCAAGAAAATAAAACTACTTTTATTTATGTATAGAAAATTTAAAAATTTATACACATTTAGTGTTCTTGTTAGTTCTCAGAATTATATCATATTTACACTGTTGACACCATTGAGATGGTGACTGGCCATTTCTGAAATGTAAGTCTTATCATTACTTAAAATTTCCAGTCCTAATATACTTTTTCCCCCTGCCAAAGGCATAGAAAGAGGTTTATTTAGGAAAGTAGATATACATTCAAAGGAGAATGTGGGCAATCTCAAGAGAGATGCCTTTGGAGTAAAGCAAGGAATATGTATTTTAGGTAGAATGCAGGCTATCTCCAGAAAGAGAGACAGTAACCTGTTGATATGGTTTGTTAATACTTACAAAGGGTTAGTACTAGGAGCTGAACTAGAGGTGGAGCTAAGGTGGAATTACATGATTTTGTGTTATTTCTCTTGTGATGGTGTATTGCCTCATTTTATAAGGTGCCCCATAATTTTGTGCTAGTTTTTCTTGTGCTTGTGCATTTCCCTTATTTTACAAGGGAGGCCAAGAGTAATGTTGCTTAGAAGTTAGAATTGTTCCAGTGTGCTTTCTGCATTTCAATTGCTCATGAGTGTTTCCTTTGAGACCTCTTTTTATCCCAAATTTCTATCTTGCCCTGCATCCTACCCAAGGCTTGGATCCCTTATTCTTAAGGGGTGCAGAAGGGGAAAAGTTCAGCTTTTGTATCTACTTTAGGCTGATATGAGATGTTGTCCTAATCTACCCAGGGACATAAAGTCTCTTCCTGCCTCATCTAATGGGACAAAGAGAGATTGGTCTTAGTTGTTGGAATACGTTGGAATCCTTGTCATGCTTTTAATATGAATTGTTGTAATCTGGAAAATACAACTTTATTAGGAGGCTAAAAGGCAAGGGCTGATCAGTAAGAGAAGAAGTATAATTACCAGAGGTCCTAATAGTGATAACAGCTAGATGGGGCTAATTAAGTAAGCTTTAATAGTTTTATTTGCTTATACATTTCAAGATATGGATTTTTTTTAAAAGAACAGTCTGTCAGATCAGACTTAACTAAGCACAAACTTATGACTTTAGCAAAGCCTCTTTTTTTTTATAGCCATAGATGGACAGAATGCCTTCGTTTATTTTTATGTGGAGCTAAGGATCGAACCCAGTGCCTCACACGTTAGGCAAGCGCTCTGCAACTGAGCTACAGCCTGAGTCCTGCAGAGTCTCTTTTGATAGTTATCAGACACTCTTGTGTAAGCACCCTTTCTCTATAAACTTTACTCACTTCTGGTAGGGCTGATGCAAATGCACATTAAGTTACATTTAAAAGGACTAAAGCATTTTTCTTTAAATGCCCATACTGTTCTTTGCTTATACTTTCCTGCCAGGTGTTTAAGACCAAGTTGGTCAAAATTGACCTTGTTCTTATTTACTATTATGGTCTTACTGACTACACATGACTTCCCTTGGAAGCATCAGGGATATTTTCCCTCTCCAATAACCCTCCTCTTTGCAAAATGTACAATGGTTGGTTTTCAGTTCTCTAGGGTCCTCAGGATATCTAAGTGGGAGGTTGAGTGACTAATCAGAGTTGCAGGGCCCTTAGAGGGGTCCTGTCATTCCTGGGTCCTGGTTGACATATTTAGAGGCCGGGCCAAAATACTGGCTTTTCTCCTTAGCTTTTTTACTTCCTTGGCTTTAGTCTCTGAGTTTTGGTCTTTAAACATTCAGCAGGCCAGTCCCACCAGTCTTGAATTGAGAGTAATGGGTTTTAACATTAATGTCTATATTTTTACAGTTTCCCTTTAATTTAATTGGGATCAACACTAGTATTGGGAGTCAGCATTATCTATTATCTGTCTTGTGGGTGATGTCTTATTATCTTAAATTAACTCAGGTTGTTTAGTTAGAAGTAGTATTTCTGCAAAACATTAACAGGCAATGTTTACAAGGAAATACAAAATGAAATTAACAAGACAAAAAACATACAGTTTGTATAATAGCTTTGAACCACAGAACATAATTTTTATAATAACATTAATTCATCTTTGTTATCTATTTAGCACCTATAAAAATCCATAAATATCAACTCAATCACATATGAAATCCTTCACAAATTTTGCTTTCTTTAAAAACTTTTACAATCTTTTATAATTTATTCAAACCTTTAGTTTTGTATCATATCCAGTCTCTAATATCTTGAGCCAATAAATCAACAGCTGCAAAGAGTAACTACATCACATAGTATTTCTTCTCCAAGAACTGCCAAATATAAATGATATTAATCAGTTTTAAATCTTTGTCCATTTTTGCTTAAAGTGAGTTTTTACTTAAAATACATAATTTCCCTTTTCCTATGCTCAGATCTTCTTAGGAATGGAAGATGTAGCTAAGGATTATTTTGCCAAATATACACAGCACATATGCTGCAGAGTTATAAGAAAATTATAGCTGCACAAAACTTATCTTTCAACTTTACATTGTGGACAAGGCCACACTTGATGACCCCTGCTATGGTCAAGACTTGGATGACTGTACTTTAATCCCTAAAAATGTCACTTCTAGACAAATAGGGCTTGGTAAAATACTTCTCATCTTAGGAAATAAGAGTTTAAACATCTGTGCTAGGTTGGCTAACAGAAAGGAAATAGGGCAACAAAGTGGTGTAGTTAAAAAAAAGGGACTGTTTGTGTCAATAAATCTGGATGCTTGTTTTCAGGATGTCACCAGGTGAATGTCAGTACCTGTCCCAACTATATTTAAATTTTCTCACCTTTCAATAGGAAAATGCCTATCTTATTAACTTCAAATAATTCTTAGAAGGATAAAATAATAGAATTTGAAGAGTATAAAAATTCTAAGAGGGCTGGACATAGTGGCACACACCTGTAATGCCATACTTGGGAGGCTGAGGCAAGAGGACTTCAAGTTCAAAATCAGCCTCAGCAACTTAGTGAGACTCTGTCTCAAAATAAAAAAATAAAAAGTGCTGAGGATATAACTCAGTGATAAAGTACCCCCAGATTCAATCCTAGTACCAAAAACAAACAACAAACCCTCTAAGAGGACAAAAATAACGAGGCTTTAGGATGTGTATGGTATATGTGTGTATGGGCGCTCATGCATGCATGCATGTTTGAGGAAGGAAGTTACATGTGAAATACAAGGAATAAAGAAATCTCAATAAAGACCAAGCCTCTGGAAAAGATTCCATCAAACCAAGTGCCCTTTTATCAGGGAGTTCTTCCACATACACTACAAAGGTTTGTGTCAAGCAGTCTACTAACCTGGCCTCTAGAGGCAAGAACTGGAAACCAAACCAACAGAAGCCCTCAATTTAGACCAACTTGAAGTGAGCCCTATGCAGTGCTACGAGAATGATACCCTATAGGGGTCCTTGC